CAGGTTACAGCCTTATGCACCATAAAAAGAATTAAATTTGAATCAAATGGAAGCTACATCCTGAGTCTTATGTAATAGGTAAATGCTACTTAGATTAAAAGGCAAATTCTATATAATAAATGTAAGYCTAGAATGTTAGATGGTTGAGGAACAGTATGTCCAAAAAAATGATTGTAACAGAATGTGAATGCTTAGATAAATGAGTGATAGAACTAAAAATGATAAGGTTAGAAAAGAAGTCATACCAAGAAACCAAGGAGTAGCTCCAATAAATGATAAAATGAGAGAAAGTACAATGACATAATTCGGTCACATCTCGCATGCATAAAAAAACATCTAGGGCTCTTATTAGAAAAGGTGACCTATTACACGTGGGATGGGCAAGAAAAGCTAAGGGCAGACCAAAAAGCATTTACATGGAAGTAATAAGAAATGATTTAAGCACCTTTAATAGAACTGAAATGCAAAGCAGGATTCATATAGCTAACTCCATATGGCTGGAATAAGGCTTAGATGATGATGATGATGATAAAGATGTGTGTGTATATCACTGATGATCAACCCTTTTAATTTAATTTCTTAATTCAAGTGAAGATTTTTTATTTTTTATTTTTTTTAGAAGCCTAATAAGGCATGCAATTTCATTAAGAATAGTTCAACATACAATCATTCTGAATACAATAATAATGGAAGGACATAGGACAATTGGCCCAAAGTGTCTGCACTATTGAAGTGGTCAAACCATATGATGAGCTACCATGTTGGCAGATTTAGGCAAATGACTAATTGAACTATTGGGAAGTTCATCCAAGTAAAAGTCTGGAGAAGGACTCTTTTCAATTTGTTAATTAATGTGTGTCTCACTCTTTTAAATAAAATTGGTTATTAACTACAAATTAACCTTATTTAATCTCCTAAATTAAATAGAGATGAAACCCAAATTTATCACATGACCAGTGAATTCCAAACAAAATAATAAGCATGGTTGCCCGGTCCTAAGTACTTAGCACGGGGTGGTGATTAGCTAGTTTTATCATGATGACAAACTGTAGAGACAAAATAAAAGCCCATAAGGAGTTCAGTCCAAGACCAGCGGCCTGCATGGCCCACTTAGTCTCAAACCCAAGAACAATGCTTGGCTAAAGAATTTCTAAATATGTGGTTGGGCTTGGGCTAGGCCGACCATCAACTGGGACAGACTGAGCTATTTATGGTCAAAATTTCATCCCGAGCTGATGTGCAAATCAAACCCAAGTTTTAGACACAACAAGCTGGCAAGCCCAAGCTTTAGAGTTAGAGTGTTAGACAAACCAAACCACGAGCACATTTATGACAACAAGACTAATACTTTCTTTCCACCCAAAACATTTAACACAAAGTCGTCTCATAATAAGGTCACCATTTGGATAGAAACTCGTGGTTTGGTATCGAAGTCTGAATTCCAATGCTTATCTTTAAAGCAACATTCTAAGGCCCACCAACCCTAATCCATGTGTGTTTGTTGTTCAATCTCATTAACATTTAACATTTGAGTTCGACTGTAATATTGGAAACACATGATAACTGAGAAACTTAATGGCCAATGAACTGGTATTATAAAAGAGGTGACCAATCAGGTGGTATGCATTCAAAATTCACGGGGTGCTTTAATTGGTCTAAACTCTTCCGGTACCATGTTTTTCTGGTATCATATATATATATATATCCCCATAACATTTTGAGAACAACCATTTTCCTTGAGTCTTCATTTTGAACAAACCCCATTTGGGGAAATTGGTTGAGAATTGCTAATGTTTTTTTGGATGAAATTATTATCCCAAGGGCTTCCCAGAAAATGAAAAGAAAAGATCTTAACTAAAAAAATATTTGGAGATTAATACAAAATTAGATATCACTGGACCAAAATCCAAATTTTCTAAAGTATAAAGGCACAAATGCGAAAAGCCTGTTTTTCAATTCCTCATGTACAGATATCTCTGACAATTATTCTAGGGACAGATGTTGCAATGGGGGTGCCATCCCCATAAGTTGTACACTGTACCTTCTTCAACTACCATGTGTTCCATTTACAGAGAGATCAGTTCTTAATATTAATGGGTCTCATCTATGAGATTGCATCAGTACTGTTAAGCATCACATGAACCTTGGCCATTGGATTTAATGTGGGTTGGACATGTCTAAATGGACCTATAAGATTATGGTTGGCCTGTTCCTCTATGAATTAGACAGATGGCAACAATCTAGGGGAAAGGGGAGCAACTCTTAGCCCTTGTGATAGAAACACCCATACTATAATGTTTCTCATTTCAGGACACAAATTTGATCCCAAACTATCACAAGAAAGATGAGAAAAAAATAGTGATACCATGAGAGAGAACCTTAACTGTAAAAATATAAACAAAGGAACAAATAATAACCCATTTTAGGTTATTTCTTCTAGCATTGCCATGGTGAGTGAGTGGCTTTGAAAGGATCACCGTTTAGAGAATAGAGAATGTTACAGTGAGTCTTAGGCCCTGCATTAACTTCAACCCTGTACAAAACGATAGTCTATAATCCAACTTCTAGCAGTTAAGGTTGAATTGATTCATTCATCTTCTGTTTTTCTTCTTTTTTTTTCTTTTTTTTTTGATGAAATGAGGTAAAATAGTCATGTGCACAAGAATTCATTTATAATACTCATAAGAAGAGAAGATCTATTCCAAGTAAAAGGGATTAAAAGAGCCAGGGGCAAACCAAAAAGGAGATGAGTTGAGCTAGTAAGAAATGATTTCAGGGCTCATAATTCATTCATGTGACCAACTCCATATAGTTGGGATGACTTAGATGATGATGATGAAGAATTTACTTGATTTCAAACATAACTTTTCTCATTTTCCTATAGGAGAAAACTGAAGAGCACCCCTTCATGTGAAAGTTAGCATCATTCAACCAGACTAAGAGGGTTTAGTCATATGCATAGAGGACCATCTATAACACATGAGAAATGATCTATTACAAATGAAGGGGGTTAGAAGAGCCAGGAGCAAACCGAAAAGAATATGGGTTGATGTAGTAAGGAATGATATAAGAGTACCATAATTTAACAATATGGATTCACATTAGGGGTGTTCATGGATCGGGTTGGGTCGGTTTATTGGGGTTTTCTCAACCGACCCGACCTGGTCGGGTTACTTGAGGTGGAAATCGAAACCGACCCACTGATAGGCCAAATCGACCTGGTTGGTTTGAGTCGGGTTGGGTCGGTTTCGGTTTTGCTCCTGTACAAAAGGGCACTTAATTGAATTCTAATTATAATTGCCTATTTGGTGTAAAAGATTATAGAAAGTTAGAAACTATGATAGATTGCCTATTCTAATTGTAATTGCCTAATGGGCCTTCTAGTTCTAGTAAAAGACTAGTTATAATTAAATAGGAAACTACTCAAACTAGGAACTACCGAACTAGTAGAAGACTAATTCGATTCGGGTCAGGTTGGTTTCGGTTTTGATTTTCACACAAGAAAACCGAAATCGACCCGATATATCGGTTTATATATTTTCCCAACCCGAAACCGACCGGTACTGATGAAAACCCAGCCGACTCAGATTGGGTTGGTCCAAATTGGTCGGTTTGATTGAGTTAGGCATTCTTATGAACAACCCTAATTCACACAGAATGGAATGGTGAAACAGGGTTTATGTAATCAACTACCAACCCAATAAGTTTGGTACAAGGCTTAGATAATGATGATGATGATGAATTTGCTTGATTTCAAACATAATATTGCTCATTTATTCCTGTTCTTACAGCAGAAAAGCATCTATTCATGTGAAATTTAGCAGCATCGTTCAACTGTGGTGGTATGAATATGACATTATATTGATTTCAAGGAGTACACGCAACCTATAGAAATGGTCCACGAAATTCTATAAGTCAATTTCACGTTTAGAGGACGACTTTGTTTTTGTTTAACCAAAAGCAGAATTTCCATGGATAAACACTATATCATACCTAATTCTTATCTATTATGAAAGAAACTTAGGACTCTGTTTGGATAAGCTTTTGCTTAATTTTGAAACTGGGCTTTGAGAAATAAAAATGAGCCAGAAAGTGTTTGTAACTGTTTGGTGGAATTGCTTTTAAAAACATAATGATCTGAAAATAGAACACTTTTTTTAAGCGTGAAAACAAAAAATCCTGAAGCATATCCAAACCCAACCCTACATTCCTCTGCCTCCATTATCAGAAATTGGATTTTGAAGTAAGAAAAGTGAGCCATCCAACATCTTCAATAAGAATGCTTAACTATAGCGGGTGATGGAACCTGAATATGAATGCTCAGCCTTCAAAAGTGGAAGGAAGAGATTCTCTGAAACCCATGGCTACAGATGGAGCCAAGAAGAAAAGCAATGACCAAATGTGAGCTTCCTCCTGCAGAACACCTCAGGAGCCATTTGACTAGAATCCACCAAAATCCCATATCCAACCAGCATGAATCACATCTGGTTCAAATGTTTTCTCCCCTCCAAGAAGATACACAAATTTACAAGAAAACAAAACACAGACAAAATTATTTATTCTTTATTCCTGTCCCCTCCATTGCTTTCTATATATTTTATCAAACGAGGTAGCCCACATTGATGGCCAAAGAGAAAGAGAAAGAGAACCCACAGACCGCAGTGACACACACCCAGAGCTCGATTGCTGAAAAAAGAGTGAAAGTTGAGACAATTACCACCCAGTGACTGAAACTTTCCTTTCTCTTGAAAAGGAATAATGCTTTCAGTGAAATCCTTCAAGATCCCCAAAACCCCATCTTGGCAGCTTTGCTTTTTTTTTTTCAACTTTATTTCTTATGGTTGTTAGCTTAATTTACATTACTACCAGAGCTGTAAAACAGTAAGCAGTACAGAACGAACTTTCTCGTTTGAGAAGTTACCATGATGTGCTCACTTGGTTCTACAAATGGGAAGACACAAATTCATTGCAGTTTAGTGAGAGAGAGAGAGAGAGAGAGATGAATAAGGTTAAGTGATGATCAAAGCCAACCAATTCAAGTTCTATTAACACACATTTCTGCAACTCAAAACCAGGAAGTTCTGATCAAGAATTCTCTGTTCTTTTGTTTTTCTTATAATAATAAAAAAAAAAAGAATAACTAAATGTTACTCTCACTCTCAGCAGATTACAGATAGAGCAAAAGGGATTTTTTTAAGAGAAGGAGAAAACATTTAATTTCTTTATGGGCTCTTACAGGCATAGATCAACAGAGAAAATTCAACTCTGTCTTGGTCCTTCTGCGCTGCCTTCTCCTCCAGCCACAACCGGCTGTCCAACCCACTTCGTGTCCTAAACATAAAAACAGCATATCCAGAATCGGGATTGAAGAACCAGTCATAAACATCCCACATCAAATCAACCAGCAACCCATCAACAAAAATGGTCTGGTTTCCCCTGAAATTCCATTGCAACCTCTTCACTCGAATGACCTTCTTCTTATCGATACAAACCGATAGCACCGGATGCTTCAACCCCTCTTCTCCGCTACATCTGATCAAAATGTCGTGAGACGTCCCGCTGTCGCAGAATTGTGCTTTGGTCGAATACAATGGGTTACCTGAGAAATGTTCTGTTCGTGATACTAGAGAGAACTGGGCAGCTGGCGGGATACCGGACTTGAGCTTCTTGCTGATCACTTCTTCCGCCATATCTCCAAGAACTAGGCCAAGCTCTGTGTCAACCACGACCACAACATAGAACCCATCAACTGGTTCAGGTCCCGATTCATACTTAGCTGTGGAGAGGTCCCAGAAGACTTCAATCTTAGAATTGTCGAATTCCAACGTCCGGTTGCCTTTCTTCTTCCTGAATAACCGTGAATTGGTGTTGACTTTGAGGGCAGAAGATGGGTCGTCGCCGCAGTTGATGATGAGACCTTGGTCCATGAGGTTTTTACACCAGGTGACTGTGATCAGGAGCAGCTTCTGGGTGGAGAGCTTTATTCTGTAGCAACAAGTGACTGCATTTTGGATCGAAGGGATCAGTGATGCTGGAGGACGACAACCCTGCGTTGAAGTACCACCACAAGAAGAATCGTTCACTTTTATGGCGTATTCGCCGAAACAAGAAGCTATGTCTCTCATTATAGACAAGCACCCAAATGAAGAAAATGAGAATTTGAAGATGGGTTCTTCTGATACAAAAAGAACAATACCAGAGAGAGAGAGGGAGAGAGAGAAGAGAGAGAGAGAGAGAGAGAGAGGAAAAGAGAGAGTAAGAGGGAGTGTTGCTTCCTGTGTTAGAAGAGAGTATGGAGAGATTGAAGATTATACATCATGGATTCTCTTTTGTTTTCCTATGAACTGTCTTTCCTTGTTTTTGCAGTTTTCTAGAGGAGAACCAGGAAGATAAAAATGAAAGAAAGGGAAGAAATCAAGGTTCCTAATCAGTGACTGGCCTATCTGTATTAAATATGATTACTCGCCAAAGTAAAATAAAATATAAAATAAAAACATCAGTTAGTGAAACTAGAAAAAAAAAAGAGAAGATAGCAACAAAGTTTCTTTTCTTTGTTTACTTTCATTTGCCAGTTCATCTGAGATATTAAAAGATTTACGAAAATAAAACAAATATTGAAGTCGGACCCGGTCTGAATTTTCCAAAAAAAAAAAAAAAAATTCTTGGTTTCTTATTTCTGGAGAAAGCAAATGATGTACGCAAAAGGTGAGGAAATAGTGAAGATTTGTTCAATTTATTTAATGTTTTTAGTTAATGATTAAATCTAAGTGAAGAAGACTTGAATTTGATCAGTGGACATGAAAAAGCTCTTACAACTGCCAAAATGGGGAGATCTTAACTGAAATGTACAGGGGAGGTGACTTTGATTTCTCAAGTGATGATGTAGGCTTGGGAAGATGACTGCAGATGATTTTGAGTGTTGGGGTCCACAAATTAAAACCAATCTGGAGACCCACCAACTCCAATCCCACAGGCCCATGATTAAAAGCAAGGGAACAATGTGATGAGCTACAAAACTTCATCCATATCCCACTTACACCTCTATTCAACCTAATATTGTTTATTTCTAGTTGTCTACTGTGAGACTGAGTAATCAAAACAAGACTGATTCTCATCTTCTTCAGTTCTTCTTGCAACCTTAAATATGCAACCCATCATAAATTTGGTAAAACTTCATTAGTCTCAGGAGTGAGGGGCCAAGGTGTCTTCTTCCTGTTCCCCTATAAAGAATAAATAAAAAAAATAACATAAGAACTCTAGAAAATAAGCCAAGGGATATAGAAAACTCATACAGAATAAAGGTACATGAATTCTAAAATGAAAGGAAAAAATACACAACTAACCAGAAAAATAAATAAAATATAGGAACTAGCTATACTTCGGTTTCTGAAAAGCTATGAGCAAGGATAAAAAGCAGAAGGTAAAGAAAAAGGCTTGGGATTTGTAAACAAAGAGTCCAGCATATGATGTTATCATTGCATGTTCATGCTAAAGAGATTTAATTTCTTCTTTTGAAATACTGTATTTTGAAAGATTTCCCTAGAAGGGTTGAGTGGGTATGTATGTGTAGTTGAAGCAAATGGGGAATCTGTCATAAAGAGAAAAAAAATTACTCTTCAAGAGGAGGAATTATTACTTTTGGGTGTAAGTGAAGAGAAGGCATCCTCTTGGCTTTACATGGAGCCCAGAAGGTGTTGTCCTAGGGCATGTCTCCCCATTATAGCCAACAGGATTGTCCTGACAATATCGGAGCCCGAATCTGCTCCACCAAGTGGGGCAGAGTTATGTTGGACTAACAGCGACTAAGGGGATTAACTTCTCAGTTGGGTCGACCCTGTGGCTCAACTGGATAGTCCTCTCTGTCCCACAAGAGAGAGAGAGAGAGAGAGAGAGAGAGTGAGAGAGATGTCCCTCCTGTCTATCATTGCTTTACCCAGAAGCTAAACCAACTCAAATTGAACCTGTGGATTAGTCTTAATTAGTTGAGAATAGTCCAGGTGACTGGCTACTAGTGATTGGTGCTGGTTATGGTGTTACGTTTACTGGAATAACATGAGAAAAATTAACAGATACAATCATCCAAGAAAAACCCAGAAACATGATCAGATGAAATTAAAATAATGAAGAAAGTCTGTGATTTACCAAGTCTGTTTAGACTTTAGAGCAGTGATTATGGTGTTAGTTTAAGGTACAAACATAAAAAGTACGTAGAGCCTAAGCATTTAAAGGATTGTCATCGTCAATTACCTATAAAGAAATGGAGAAGACCCTATTGGGAAAACCATTCCTCTGTTTTGGCTTTATACAAACAGGAAGTTCATAACAACCCAATAGAATAGACCCTGAAGCATCTCTTCATGCCAATTGATCTACCAAATGCAATCTAAATCAAGTCTTACGTTTACAAGTTTGTGTTTTTAGGATGCCCAGTTTGTACAGACTTTCAAAAGAAGACAAATTAGGGGAATTTACTCGGACGACTACTTAGCCAGCTAAGGGATATTATTAGCCTTCAAATCACATATTATACTWWTGTAAATGAGAATGAATCCAGTCCTTTCATGGAGACAGCTATGTGTCATACGCCTGGCGACATGTAACAATATATTAAAACCACAGGAATAAAAGAATGGAAGGAGGGAAGGGCATTATGTATAGTATATTTGTTAGAATGGACATTTAGTATCTCCTGCTCTGGCCAGGTATCCTCTCTCTCTCTCTCATAGAAAAAAGAAAAAAAGTCTGATGGACCTTTCATATTCCCCCTAATAGGAAATTGAAAGAGAAGGGCTCTTCTTTTGCCAATCAGAAAGGGACATTTCTGTTGGTATATCATCGTTCTAACTTTAAAACCAATTTAAAAAATAAATAAATTATTTATCCCATTAATTAGCTTCTTTATTAATTATAATTTACTTGGAAAAAGGACCAAGTGCCTAAAGACTATGCTTCTTTCTTAATAATGGTTCTCCAAATCAGATACTATGCCCCTTCATCCAACACATGGAAAACATTTATCTATCCAAAATGATTTCGATACCAAAAGTACTCTGTCCAATGTCATATTCGTAGTTGAAAATTATGGACACTTGAATCATTTCTTGTCACTTCCACCCAAGTCCTTTTTTATCTGCCCCTGGCTGTTCTAACCCCTTCAACTTATAAAAATCTCTTTTCTTAACTGACTTCGATCCTCAAATTAATTTTGTCTTGAAAATATGCGTAATATAGGTTTAGTTTGGAGTGTAAGTTTAAGCTTGTACCAGAACCAATGATGGGCAAGCAGTATCAGCATCTATATATTTTCATGTATCATTTCTTCCTCTTCTTCTTCTTCTGTTTCACTGCTTCGTTTTTATTTTATTTTCTAGCTTGTTCTGAGGATCCTTGGTGCTTGTGTTGGATTCCTAAGATTGGCTTTCGTTAAACATCAGCCAAAACCATTATTAGAAAATTTTAACATGATTAGACATCTCATCTATCAACTCCATGTGCACTCTAACTCAGCTTTTCCAACTGGGGTTTACTACTTAATTAAATAAATATCAGAGGCTAATCAAGATCCAATCATAATGTAAAAGGGATGAAAAAAAATAATCCAGTACTCTACATTCACCATCATAAGTGGACTGTGCAAACTGCAAAGCAAAGTCAAGATATATAATTTAAACCAATTTGGTAGAGCTCTCTCTCTCTCTCTCTCTCAATTTAGAATTGCTAGAAGCTAGTAATATTTTTTTGGTACAAAGCCAAATCAGATGATCAAAGAAAATGACCCTTCAAACTCTCCAAACTTAGCTTCTATAAATTTTTCCTGTCTACTTGTCAGCTTGTTTGACCTCCTCCACACTGCCCACGGATCATCAAATTCCAATATTTCCGTCTCTCACCCTCACTCACTCTGTAGCTCTGTACATTCGCACGCGAGGGACCAACTTAACTTAATTTTTTTATAAATACCAAAATGACGACATGAAAACGCCACTTCACTGAACCAAGCCTTCTTTGATATATTTTGCATTTTGATGGAAGGTGGGAGCCCCTTCAATTCTTTACTTCATATCAAGAGGGCAAACAATCCCTAGTCGTCACAGTGGAATCTTGTCACGTGTCTATCCTTTGTCATAGTGAGGTTTGATTGCACTCATAATGTTTTAAACCTACAGGCAAACTGGCAAGTGGCAAAGGGCTTGGCCCCCCGCTCCATTCTCCAACTCGTTGGTCCTGTCCTGTGTTTTTTTGACCGCAAAACAGTGTTGCCGGCGGTAGAATCGATGTTGTGCACGGCCGATGTGTGAATATTCCTATTGTACGGCCCCACTTTTTTTTTTTTTTTGGGTAAACCTTACGGCCCACTTCGGTACCAACCATGTGGGAGTCTTTATGGTAACAATTAAGCTGACACGGAGTTGTTTTGGTTATGGCTGTGTGATGTCTTGACAGTTGACACATGTTTAATGTACAGATCATTGGGACCCACCCAACCAACAAAGGATGATGGATGAACCAAATTGCTTATCTATGTCCCACACAACAACAATCGAACCCCAAATCAGGAAGATGATTTGCATGAATATGTTATATATGCATCTCAAAGGCCTCGAACCCAAACCAAGAAGTCTGGAATATTGTTTATACAATTAATGTTCCAGATGTGTGGTCTATGATGCATAATATTTTAAAAACCCAATCCACGCCACCGGTTTTTAGATCAACGGTTCGATTGTTGTTTTTTTGAGAATTGGACAATTAATTCCAATTTGTACGTTTTTAGAGTCTTCTCTACAACTGTTGCTCTTTTTTATTTTTTTTTTTGAAGAAAAAAATTATATGCTTTGACGTCCACTTATTTATCCTCAAATGTTTCTCTGATACACAGAAATTAGGAAAGGAAATACCTTATTTTTTCAGCTATTATTTTCATCCCTTTTACAGAGAAAACTTTGTTTTCCGTCCCTTTTAGTTTGTTTTCACCATAGAGTTTGGAAATTAGATGGCTTAAACTGAAATTTTTTTCACCCATTTTTTATTAAATTCCTTTCTAGACATATATTCATCATAGGTTATATTTCAATAGAATTGTTAATGGGTTGAATCTGATTCAAGATAGAGTAGACCAGTCCTGAACCAATTATTAATCAGTTTTACAAAATAGACCCAAAGTGAAACTAATTGATCTGATTACACTTGACATCTATAATTATTTATGATAACAAAAACTTGGATAATATAACCTTAATAATAATGAAAGTAAATAATAAACTGCTTATATATACAATATACTGTCTATAAAATTTATCATAAAATAAAACAAAAATATAAGAAAATTAACAGGAGACATTTATATTATTAATTGTATAAGTGATAAGTGTCTTAATTGACACAGCAAAAAAAAAAGGTCCTAACCCAATTATTAATTAAGACATAAACCACAGAACCCGAACCAACATAATCGGTTCATCAATTGAACTCTATCGGGTAGACCCGACCCATTGGCAGCTTTTATATTTCAACTTTCAAGTAGGAATTTCAAAGTTGAAACAGAAAGGGGGGGAGTGGGGAGGATTCAGATTGGAATTTTCAGTTTATTTTTTTCTTTTTATTTTCCATGGAGACAGGCTACTCATCAAAATAATAATATAAGATATTAAGATGTTACAGTTAGCAAATGGAAATTTCTAACACTCCTATCGCTTTCTGCTGCAAACACCCTTACCCTTGTATATGAAAATGTTTCTGACAGTCCTAACTGTGGAATTCGTAAACTTTACCATTTGAAGTTTGGTCGTTGACGTTTCGTGTTAGCTAACCCATGGAGCCTTAGTGGTGACTGGTGTGGTGATGGTTGATGGCGCTTTCGTATTAACGTAACAACAGATAACAATTAACAAGAGTCCTTGATAGACCCAAAAAAATGGCGGTGGGTGGTTGGAACCAGCCACCATGGATCCCGAGTCAAAAGCTTAACTTGGTAAAATGCTTTGTAGTCATTCCCCTAGACTGAAAATAACACCTTGAACGAGTCAGAAACTCGTGAGGCCCGCTAATGTAGCTTTCAGATTCGTTAAGAAGATATTCATATGATTCATATAATGGCTTAATTTATTAATATTGTTCGTTTTTTTTTTTTTTGGGTACTACTGATTCATGGATGTTGAAGGGCCCAGCTCTTTGATTAGCTATTGATACGTTAGGGTGGGCTGATCCGAATATAAGCTTTGGTTCAGCTGCTTGTTTGGGTTGGGCTGCATAAACAACGTAAACCATATATGTTTGTTGATAATGAGTTCAATTGCTAAAACTATGAATCAGAGTATCAGACACAGCCTTTGATGTATTGTTGTGGCACTACCATGATGTAGCTTTATCTAATTCGAGGTGGAGCCACAGAAATGCATCGAACACTTTGATTGCATGGTTTTAGTCATTTAGTGTAACACTAAAACTACACCATGACAAAACTGGTTTAGGTGTTTAGCTTTAGCTGCTTAAGAAGTCGGATAATTTTGACAAGGCGCTTCAAAGAAGGTGAAGCGGACATCCCTTCAACTGGCTGATCCACAGCCACAGACGATTTGGCAACTACGCTTCAACCCTCCCAAACCCAAACAGGTACACTAAGAAAGTGGTCAGCCTGTTCTTTCCTAGTTTTCCTCCCAATTGGAAAAAGAGTAGGCCACAATTGATCGACTCAAAGTCTCAAACTCAATAGGGTGGCGTCCATTTGATCCCACAGTCAACAGGTGTCTAGATCCATCGTATATTATGTAATATAAATTTCAGTAGCGATCTATCCTGGCATCCAGGGCGCTCTCTCTCTCTCTCTCTTCCCAGAAGAGATGGCGACGTGCCGCTGGTAAACCTATGGAAATCCCGTGAGTGCCAAAATCAAACTGTCAAGTGTCACTCAACTGCTTTCATGAGTCTAAGCTGACCAGTCGAGGCTCTGGCCCTTGGACGGACGACCCGCAGAGAAGAGCAGCCGGCAACTATGGACATGGCCCTCATGGACCTCTACTGACTGCCATTTAGGGGTTCCATCCATGATTGGCCGTGCCGCCTACAGGCTACAGCTCTTAAAACTGTTCAATACTAGAGCCAGCACCCATCTTGGCTTTCCAAGAAACAAAAAGCAGAAAACTCCCAATTGTTTGTGTGAATGTTTCATTCTTCCCTGGGATTGGAAGGCCCACCAATTGAACAATTGGGACTTGGGGCCCACTTATCCTATGAGAGTTGAGATGAGGGTATTTTAGCAATTCCGGAAAAAGAACGGAAGAAAAGAAAACCTCAGTTGCCCAGCTGAAAAAAGTCCTGGACTAGCCTCCATGTTCCTCAGTTCCTCTCATCTTTATAACTGAAGTGCTGTTATTTTCGGCCCTGGCAGTTCCCTGTCCAGTTGATTGACTGTGTTGTCATTGTCAAGTGTCAACCAAAATATAGTCTGCAGAGGAGTATCAGATTTAGAACCCTCAATCCATGCAATGTTAGGATCAGAACACTCTTCAATGTCCGCATCACTGAGTCCGGATCTGCTAATCCACATCTAACTGTTGCTCGACAGTCATTGGTTTTTATGGTGGTTCGTTTACCATAATTATTTCAAGCTTACCCGTCTCCCCAACCCTCATCTTCAAATTCAAAACTCTAMTTATTCTTCTTTAATACCAGAAAGAAAATCAAGTTACGGCTGGGGTTTGAGATAAACATATAATCGAATCAATCATGTCCCATTGAATGATCTGGTTACGAGATCCATAAGAAATGGTTCAATCAGTTCTTGTTTTAACCAGCCTTGTCAAACAGTTCTAAATGTTCAACCACCCAGTCTTGTATTTTTTTCAAAAATATTAGCAGACCTATATGGCCAACATAATCTACAATTCTAGTAGTTTTGAAATTCTGCAGAAAACTTTGAAGTTATCTTTCACATAATTCATCTTATTTTCCAATGACTAGGATGAGTAGGTTCCAGTTTAAGCATCAGCCAAATGATCTACTCTTGCTACTAATCAAGCCTTCATGAATGTAGAAAGACTAGGACTTGCATTTTCTTCACATAATATTACTTTCTTACCAAGACAGTGGTGGATGGACTCTCCTACATCGATAAATGTCCATGTAGAACACCCACATAGAATTCTGGTTCTATATGGACTTGAGTGACACTTCTAAATGATATTTCCTTTCTATCTTTAAGGGATTTTGCAAAGGTAGTCTTAGTCCATTTCCTAAAACTTAGGGATAGTTTAAAGATTTCCCCATGTGTTGGAATTCAAAAAAAAAATAAAAAATAGAAGCACTAGTTTGGTAGTTTATACTTTTCCATAATCATGTCCATGAATCCTTGTTTTTTATATTCGCTGAATCATATTCCCAGACGCATTTTGGATTTGAATTCCTGTATTCATGTCTATGGCATTACTGCTTACTGATAATAATGCAAATATATAGCTGTGCTGGCCAAAACAAAAACATTGTAACTAATGTATCAGATTGGAACTGAGCTAACATGGGAACAGAAGATTAGAGACAAATTAGATGATTCAATTCTTCCAACATCAAGAAATTAATAGACTTTTGGGTATCAGAAATTAATATCCAAATCCTGTGATACAAACTTTTGATGGTTAAGATAAGGAAATGGACCTCCTGGCTGACTTCTTCAAAAGTTAACTCCTTTGGTAAGGAAGCACAACATTGACACCATCCGTTACTAGATGGGACTGAGGTAATTAGCAAATCTACCTGTCATCCATTAATAGAGTGTCAGCTTTCAATCAGATACAAGTTTCTCTCCTTAGCAACAGGTATGGGGTTTATGGTGTTCTAGAAGACAGAAGAAACATGAATTTGTTGCTTCTAAGGAAAAAAAAAAAACAACCAAATATTTGCTAATCCTCTAGGGTAAAAAAAAAATCATGCAGTGAAATACTGCATAGCCCTATAAATAAACCTTGTAATTCTGGTCTTGCTGGGTGGAATATGAAAAGTGGTTGAGCCAAGATACCCCAAGGTCTAACTTGAGCAAGGAAAGATAAAACATGATTTTTAATGCAAGAACTTGGGAGTAATTGTATCATATGGTTGTAACAACCAAATTGGAGAAAACAATTATACCTAGAAAACTTAAATTTCCAAATCCAAAACTGAAATTCTTTAAACTGCCCAGCACATAAATCATCAATGTGACCTGATCTTTAATGCAAGAACTTGGGAGTAATCACACAAGTTGCTGATGGTACATATTTTGAGCCTTCTCATGATCAATATCAAATTATCCAAGTGACCCAATGATTGGCACATTACATTTGTGGAAATGATTTGGCAACATTTTACAGAGCTTCACGATAATGCATGGATAAAAGAATTTAAACCAGCAATTAATATAACTAAAACCATTCAGGTTACTTTTGCACAATAACAACATATACCACCAAGTCATCCATAAAATAACATAGCACACTAAATTTGCACAATAACAGCAGTCGAAAATACCAGGGCATGGTAATATTTACACCTGAAACATCCCTCCACATGCATATCAGATTACTAGTCCATCCTGCATCCAGAGGGAGAAAATGGTCCCTTTGTGATACAAAGAGAACTTGATGGTGTACAAGTATCTTTACCATATGACCCTTGATCTTTACTAGTTTGTATTCTCTAACTACTTAACATAGTATTATCTATCTATGTATATCCATATTGTCAACCAGCCAAGGCAAAGCTAAACAACAGGGAGAGCCTGTCACTTAGGTGACCAAACACCCACATGGCTGACTATCTTTGAAAAAAAAATAAAGAAAGAAAAAGTTACCTTGTTTCCCTGATTAAACTAGCAAGTATTAAATATGAAATGTGGCCTAGTATTAAAGAATCAAATATTAAAAGTAGACCGAAAGAAACATTAAGTCTGTTTAGTTAATGCAATAGGATGATAGAATACAAGAGAATCTGTGTATATGTCCATACAGATCGAAAAATGAGCAAAAAACAAAAAGACAGATAGAGATATGGGGAGAATATGTTTGTGTAACATCGGCTTGAAACCTGAGGCAAGGTTGCAACGCTTGCATCAACTTCAAGGCAGTTTTTGCAATGAGTAGTAAAAGAAGTCAAGATTACTTTACTAGTAGTTAGCACAAAAAGGAAATAAATGATAACTAACAGAATCTCATTATTAGATTCCAATACCCTGGAGTCTCAGTAACCAGAGAAGGGGAGAGGTGGAGTTTCACCTTCAGGAAGAAAAATCTTTCTTCTCCAAGCAAACTAGTTGTAGAAATCAAATCTCAAGTCTTTCATTAAAATAACAAAAGAGAGGTGCATCACTATTTGCAGGCAAGACTAGGAAAGGATACCCAAGCATACATAACAAGCTCCTTACAAAAAGACAAAATTACAAATATCTTTTAAAGTATTCTTCTGGACTGCCTCTTCTAAGTTGTTCTTTATGGGCTCTTGGACCCTAAACAAGAATTGGGCCATGGATTTTGAGCCTTGAGAACTGAGCCACGAAATGCTAAGATTAACTTCTTTCTTGAGTTGATACATAGAGCCTTCACATGTGTGTGGGTCTAAGGTCACATGGGTTAGGCCCACCTGTGTTGCATCTATGCGTTAGTGTGACTCTTGTGTGCACGTGTGTGCTCAGAGATAGGATGCAAAAAATGAAAGGTGGAGCCCTTGTTTTGATCATAGATAGAAAGACAAAAATGAGTTATTACAAAGAAAACAATAAAAAATGAAGAGGCAAAGCACCATTCTGCCATAAAGAGATGAAACTCTATTCTATTCACAGAAATTGATAGAGAAGTGAAAAAAGAGAAAAAGAAGGCTTCTTGCGAAAAATAACATGAGGTATGCCTTATGCTACCATTCAAAGTCTTATTGTAGTTACTAAAACCCATTTTATGATTCTTTGAATTATAAAATCACTCTTCTATAATGCCCCATTTATGTCCTTATCTCTTATTTTTTGAAAATGATATGGTGTAGCATAAGTCATACCTAAAATTGGTATACAAAAATATAAGAGGACCAAGGAAGGAACAATGCACCTCAAAAATGCACTACCACCTAAGAAGATACCTAGGCAACACCCTCTTTTTGATGAATAATGCCTAGGCAACACCTTGACAATTATGCATTTGTTGTTATATGGGCCTGAGTTGGTAATAAGAATTTATGATACATGTGGTTGACATAAAATATGAAAGGAAGGGTGGAGGATTTGTTCTTTTAGGTCAACTAGTCAATGCTGATTCATCAACACATTGCATAGTGATTAAAATGACTAGTGACTCTTTCACCACATTGGCAACACTGATTTTATCTTTACACATTTAGAAAGTAAACTTCTCTAAAACAAAATGTGAGAAATATACCAAAAGAGGCTGAAGGAATAAGGTTCATAGCCAACACAAATAGGATGTGTTTGAATAACACTCAAGAGAAAACATCAACATCTAAGTCTTATCCTAACTATATGGGGTCAGCTACATAAATCCTGTTTCGCCATTCATTTTTGTTTAATGCCATATCCATTGTTAAACTACAAGTTCTTAAATAATTTCTTACTACTTTGGCCCATGTCCTTTTGGTCTGCCCCTAGCCCTTCTAGCCCCTTCATATTGTAACAGATCACTACTTCTTAGGAGTGCTGTAACTGGTCTTCTACGCAAGATTAAAACATCAAAATATTTATTATCTTTGTTTTAAGTCAAAGTAGAATATCAAATTTCCTCTCTAATTCTGTAGAATTGCTTTAAGTACTGTCAACTTCATCTTTACTAACTTTTGATCACAATTATAATTAAGTAAAAATAGGTCAGTTCTTACTGTATCCAGTTTAGGCTCAACTAATGTTTCAGCACTTTGAAATTTTTATTGGCATTCAAAAGGTGAATCTTAGAACCTGTCACTCAGTATGTTAGTCTACATTCTACAAATATCTAGAAGCCTAAAATTCTAATGAATACAAGTTATTTTCATAAATAAGTCTCTTCCAGGTGTCCACTATAGAGCTTATGCCTGATACTATTTAATACTTTGGTTAAAACAGGTCTGACACTATTACCCATTCATTTAGAGGTTAGGCCTCTCAACCTTCTTCATTATTCAATTTGATCTCTAGACTCATAAATTTGAAGACCTAACTCTGGTTGTAGGCTTTTCTGGCCTTTTTTTATAACTAAAGGATAATTTTATTCAAAAAAAGAAGGTAGAAAGCCACAATACAAACAACTCAAGAAAAAACAACTTTTCTTATATTGTTTGTGCTCAAGTTTGAGTTTTCTTTCTAGTTATTTTCTATTACTTAATCCATCCATTGTATGCATAATATCAACCCTAGTCACAAAAAGCCTTCTTGAAGCCACTATAGTAGTAGCATGCTAGCAAAGTTTTTTTTGTTGATATTAAAGAAATTTATAAATATCGTATAGCCATACCTTCTATTTGAAAATCCAAGAGGAAGAGGGTTAAACCATGTTTTTTTCTTTTCAGTAGAATTTTTTTTATTGCAAAAAAAAAACCAGCCTTGTATATTAGTTAGAGAAGTCTTACATGAGGGAGTTAGCTACATCGTAGTGCACTGATATGCGGCCCTTACATGAGATGTAAGCAAAAAGATGAGCCACTTGATTGTTGTTCCTACTTATATGTACAAACTTAATAACATCAAAAGATGAGATTAGTCTTTGCAAAGATGTTAAACCATGTATATAACCCTTTCCTAATGATATGTTGATTCTACATGGTTTGTCATTGGTACAGTAACCCGATGTCTATAACCAATTTCTTTGGCCCTACAAGTTACTGAGCATGAAAGCCCCCTCATTGGACCCCCAAGGTGAAGCCAAAATTTCCTACTATCGTCACCCCCAAGCCTTGCAATCTTGCTCATGCAATGCACAGAATCTGTTAAGACACAAATAAGGGGAACAGAGGGACAAGTGTACAAGAAAAGGCAACATCAGCCTTTAAGTAATGTAACTGACAGCCAACCACTCGAACAAACTAAATAACAAACTRGACAAGTGGAGAGGCTGATATAACAGAATTATAATGGAAGTATTATAAATAAGGGAAGGAAGCCAGAAGAGGAGGTATTGATTTTGGGAATTCAGTCTCTCTCTCTCTCTCTCTCTCTCTCTCTCTCTCTCTCGTTCAGGAGGCAGGCTTCCTCGAAAAGCCCCTGAGTTGGGCAGTTACCTAACAAGTTGGTATCAAAGCTGAGATGCCGAGCACAAGGTCGTTCGCGATGGAGAACAGGGTCGACAACATGGAAGGAGAAATGCAAAGATTATCGGCTGACGTCAAAGAAATAAAAGAGAGCTTCGCGTCCTTGCTTGGGCGACTGGAACAGACACCACCAGTGCCGAATCGGGAAGGGCAAGAAGAACGCAGTGACACCAATCATCGAAGCGGATCAAGAAACACCAGAACGGCAAGAATCGAGTTTCCCGTCTTCGCAGGGGGGGATCCCACGTCTTGGCTTCTACGAACCAAAAGGTACTTCGATTACCATGATACGCTGGGACCTGATCGTGTTCCACTAGCTTCCACACACTTGGAAGGAGAGGCGATCGCCTGGTACCAGTGGTACCGGCAACGGCACCCAAGAGCCACATGGGCGGACTTCACCGATGCCTTCACCGATGTCCAAGATTATCAGATGGCATTCAAAAGGTTAGCTGTGCGCGTGCAAGGGTGGCCAGAAAACACACTGGTCGGCAGTTTTG